CTGGAGCTTGCTATTCTTCTGCCCCGTCCTTCCAGGTGTGGGATTACATGCATGTGCCATGTTGACTTATTTTAATGTTAACTGTTGGTGAGACCATGCAATAGAGTTTGTCAGTAACACTATGGATATGTAAGCCAAAGACTTAGAAGAAAGGCTGCCATGGAAATAGGAATTTATGAATCAGAATATTGATGGGTCAAGTCTGGCAAGAAGATGAAATTGCATGCAAAATACACTATTTAAAGTATGTATAACAGGAAAGAGCCATCAGCAGCAAGAATAGACTCAGGAGGAAATGATGTTGTAGAAATCAAAGAAATTTTATTTCAAAAGAATAACAACTAAAAATATCAGATGCTTCAGTATGGCCAAAGAGTGTGAAGAAAAAATCATACCACGGCCCAGGGGAGCTGCCTCAGACCAGATTGGCTCTAGAACTTTTACTGCAATTGATTTAAGACTAAATTTTAACTACCTATAAAAATGTAAAAGAAACATAAAAAAATAACTAACCCTGTATGGGATGGAGGCATGGCTCAGTTAGTAGAGTGCCAGCCAGTGAGTGAAAGCATCATGTACTGAGTTTGAGTCCTAGTCTCAGACCTAAAATACATACATACATACATACATACACACATATACATACATACAAATGTGGAGTCAATGGATTTAGGCAACCCCTTTGCTGCTCCTAAAATACAAATTAGATTTTTAAAAAATTATAACTTTATACTAAAGCTACCAGCACAACCGTGTTCATTGCAGCATTATTTTTCCCATAGCTAAGACATGGAACCAAGCCAGATGCCCCAGTTGATGAATGGATCAAGAAAATGTGGTATATATAAACAATGGAATTCTATACTTCTATCAGAAAGAATGGCATTGCCCCATTCGTAAGGAAATGGAAAGACTTTGAAAAATCATACTAAGTGAAATAAGCCAGACCTCAAAATTGGTTAACTACATGTAGAAAACTAAAGCTAGATCCTTATATATCACCCTGCACCAGAATCAACTCCAAATGGAT